TCTCTCTCTCTCTCTCTCTCTCTCTCTCTCTCTCTCTCTCTCTGTGTGTGTGTGTGTGTGTGTGTGTGTGTGTGTGTGTGTGTGTGTGTGTGATGTGATGTGATGAGATTGCTGTTCTCTGCCTTTCTCTGGGGCTAGATGAGTTTTATGGTCAAAAGGGAAATTGAGACTCACACTGACCCCCAGTCCTGCACTCCATCCCATCACCCCCAAGTCTCTTTGTTGCTACATCTAATGAAGGCACTTCTATTCAACTGTATCCTGGCCAGTTTCTGAAACAAAAGGAGATCAAGTATGTAATAGAAAGACCCCACTCTTCAGTTAATTTCTATGTACCTGCCACAGTCTGATGCTTGGTGTTTCAGACACACTTGAATAATCTAAGTCTTATATAGTCTTTCATCTTTTCATCAAAAATTTATCAAACATCTATTAATATAGTACTTTAACCATGGCATCAAGTGGGAGAATGTACTCAGGAATCATGAGGTGTCATGGATATCCCATTTACCATGTTGAATCCCAGCTACTACATCACTGGAGTATGGATAGGTCCAAGATGAGAATTGAGTGAGGATATACCCATCCCGGTCTATCCTCATACCAAAACATTTTTGCATATGGCTGGACACAGAGTTGAGTAGTCATGGAAGAAAATAGATGAAGTCTTTACATAATCCACACCTGCTCACTTGCCTCCCAAAGTTCAGAAAGTCCAAGAGGGCACTAAGTCATTTATTGTTTTATGAGGTGGTCTGGTGAAGGAAGAGGGGCAGGGCTACAGTCCCTAATGGAAAGAGATGACGGGACTTTTCATTGCTGAAAGGTCCGTATGTTGGGAAGGTGTGTGTGATTAGGCCTACTAATATTTTCAATGCTGGGTGAGGAAGGAAATGATGAGGTCAAACTGGGGACAGTCTGCAATGTCTTAAGTCAATCTTGCACTAGGCTATGGGCACTATAGAATAGTGCCATTAATGTATGGATGTGAGGAGCCAGTCAGCCCTAGTCAGAGCTCTCCTTGTGTAGGGAAAATTCACTGCTACAGACATTGTGTTTGTCTATCCAGTGGGGTCAGTGCCAGGGTGGGACTCAGTCCCATATCAGAAGTGTGCCTCCTTTCCTGTGTGAGACTCCTGTCTCTTTCAGGTGGAACAGCAAAAATAACATTTTCTGTGGGGAGGGGTCTATCCATGCTGTTGGGTGTCCTCCTGGATTAGTCCTGGTGTGTTTCTTTTGTGTTTGGATGGGTCGGTTTATAGGATCACGTGTCCTGTCTCATTCTCCACTCACTCAACCTCTCAGCCAGGCCCCAGTGTACTGATGGTGGTATAGCTTAGCCGGGACAGTGAAGCAATGGAAGGGGTAGGAGGATCCTCATCCGGAAGAGGCCGGGGGCGAGCTCGTGGAGGCCGTGGGCAACAGCGGGCACATGTGTCCAGGCAGGCCTGGCGAAAGCGGCGGTGCATGAAACAGTAGACCAGGGGGTTGACACAGGCAGAGGCATAGCTCAGCAAGTGGATGAAAGAGATGGGGGCCCCTGAGAGTGCTCTGTGTGCCCCTGGACCATCGAAGGCGCGCCACGTGTTGGCGCTGTACACTGGCAGCCAACACAGGAAGAAAAGCACAACAATCACCAGCAGCATTCGCACCACACGTTTCTTAGCCAGCAGCTTGGCCTGGTTGGGCCGAGGGCCTGGCCCTGGCCCAGGAGTGGGCGTGGTCAGCGCTGTCATCTCCAGTCGGGAACGCGGAAGTTGCACGTAGCAGCCATCACTGTCTTCCCCAGGGAGGCTAGTCTCAGGCCGGCAAGCCCCGTTCTGGTGGACAGGCCCTGAGCACAGAGCACAGAAGGTGCGATAGAAGCAGAAGAGACTCCTCTCATATTGCAGCCCAACTTTCACTCGAAGCCCCTTCTCCACAGCTTTCACCATGGGCTCCCGCCTCCTTTCTAAGCTTCTTTCAGATCCACCCACTAAGGAGGTCATGCCCATCACCAAAGCCCCGCCCCTCGTGCATTTCACCTACCTGGTGCTGCCCCACCCGGCAGGCCTCCTTGGTTTCGGACCCTGCTTTGGGTCTCACTGTCGTCACCATCAAAGCGAAGCCCAAGGTAGAGCTCGCGAGAGATGAGCCCGTAGGCCACCGCCATAACCACACCCGGGACGAAGAACAAAAGTATTAGCAGTAGCACTGACCTGGAGACATAAAACAAACCAATCACCGTCTCTCATGCGGCCAGTTACAGGTAGAAGAAGAGTCAAAAACTCAACTGTGGCCATGTGGCTGAGACAGGGGTAGGATTTGGGGATGCCACTGGGAAAGGCAAGAGACTGGCGAGGGGCCCCAAATTGGAATTCCAAATGTGGGGGTGCAGAATGGGGCTTGGCGGGAAAAACCTTGGAGGAACTGGAAGACTGCTCTGGGGAAGGGGTGTAAGCTTCGGATGAAGATGGAAAAAGGACTTTCTAAGATAGGGTGGGGGGCGCCCTCACCAGGTCTGGCGGACACGAGCACTGGGCCAGCGATGCACGCACTGCAGCACTCGAGGCCCCACTGGCTGCACTGCGGTGTACACAGGATAAGGTATCATAAGTAGTCCAGACAGTAGCCATGTGGCTAAGATCACCCGCGCTGCGTGGGAGCGTGTCTGCCACACCCGTGCTTGCAGTGGTCTGCAGATGGCGCTGTACCGCTCCAGGGCTATGGCCACGAGATTTAGCGTGGACACACTCACTGACACCCCTAAGCAAGGTGAGAGGAAACGGTCACCTGGGAAACACACACCCTGCATGCTCACCAGTATGATTTTCCTGATTTCCCATCAGGAAAAATCCTTATATTTGTCAAGTACTTTAAGAAGGAAGAGGGCCAAGGGGGAGATGTGTTTGTCTCACCTACCCATGAGGTAGGAAACAGCCTTGCAGATGACTGTGCCGAAGATGAATGTGCCCATGAGGTTGGGCAGGAGTGTGAAGGGCATGCAAGCCACAGCCAGCAGGAGGTCGCTGACTGCCAGGGAGAGCAGGAAGGCATTGGTGACAGTTCTCAGGCGCCGGCTCAGTCCCAGGACCACGATGATGAGCACATTTCCTCCAACACTCATCAGAAAGATCACCGCATAAAGGGTGACTCTAATGGCCAGCTCCAATTCTAGGCAGAAGAGAGGTGGTTGTAGGAGGATTTGAGCACCATTCATTCAGACCCCCAATCCCATTTACCCCCAGACCATAATATCCCGTTAGATCCTGACACCCTGAGAACACTCTCTCTAACCCTAAGGGACTATGTAGTACCTGATGGCAGGAAATGCTTTACCATCATAAATGCTGAGGCTCAGTTGAGTTGTCCCAACTCTACTATTCCTTAGAATCCTCTCTCATTATGGTTGGTTCCATGCTTGTTTTCTTTGCAAAGACTTTAGGGACCTGTTCCCATCACTGGTTGGATACTTCTCAAGATCACTAATCTGTAGACACCAGATCGAAAGTTCCTTCTCTGACCATTCCATTGGACTTCCTTGCACCCTTGACCACCCACTCCCCTTAGAACAATGTTGGATCATGTCTGTGTTCTCTAAAAAACAAACAACAGAAAACAAAACAAAGCCAGCCTCTCCCCAACTACAAAAAGAGAAAAGCCGTTCACTACTCTGTACTATCTACACCCCCTCCTCCAGGACTGTCACCTCCTCTCAGTGCTGCACCCACTCAAGCCACTCGATGACTCAGTTTCTTGAATGCATCATGAGCACTCCTGACTCCCTTCTCAAGCTGATTTCTCAGGCTTGGAATGAATATTCTGTCATAAACCCCTGCTTCCACCCCAATCACAAACATTTCCTAAACTGGTAAATGCCTATAAATCCCTCATCTACCGAGAACCAGACTGATTGCCACTGCTTTGGAAAGGCTATCCTGAGTACCTCATTTGAAACTAATCTCCCACTCCTTTGACCCATGCATGTTCCATATTCCCTACACATTTATTAGATCCCCCCCTTTTCCTCTCTGAGTTGTGCTTTAATATTCTCCAAAGATTCATCCGTACTCAGTAAACATTTGCAGGGGACTCCCTTTGTGTCAGGCACTGGGGACAAAGAGGTGATTGACAAATTCCCTGCCATTTGAGAGCTTACAGTAGAGAGGGAATCTGAGATGCTTAAACAGATAATTGCCACACAGTATGATAAGAAGTGTGGTTGAGAGATGTACAAGAAGCTGTGGGATCCCCAGGAGGGACCAGTGTTTCTGGATGAGTCAGAAGGGCTAGAAGGGTGACCAATTCATTTGTGTCATTGTCTATTGGGAGATAGACTCATCCTAGGACTTTTATATCATAAACATGCAAACCTGAACAAAACTGGATTGAACTGAAGTGGACTGAGTCATCCATATCCATGGCCTCAGTGTCAGGGAGATGGGAGCTTGAAGAGAGAAAGCCTCCTACACTGTGGGGGCAGGAGGGGTCCAGAGGTACAGCCTTCTCTTCTTTAACTGCCCAGCTTTCTTCTCTTATCTGACTCTTGGCTTAGTTTCCAAACTCTATTGCTGCCTCATAATGAATAACTAGCTTATTTAGAAGTTGTTCTATTTATTAGACAATAAATACGTTCTATTTGTTAGAAACCCTCAAACAGGGGCCTGGAGAGCAGGCTTAGCTCTAAAGAACATTTCTATGTTGGTTGGCTCACAGCTGTCTGTAATTCCAGATCTTGGATATTGGGAACCCCATGCTCTATTTTGCATACACTAGTGTACACACACTTACACACACACACACACACACACACACACACTATTACTACTACTACCACTACCACTACTAAAACGACTACTACTGATGATCATGATGATGATGATGATGATGATGATGATGATGATAAAATAAATCTTTAAAAAAGATTTTTTTTCCAAACACGACTTAGCAGTAATATTACTTGCTTAGATCTCAGGATTCCTGAAATGTTTTGCCTCTTACAGCTGCCTTAGGCCATACTATTTCTTTCTTCTTCCCATCAAATCTCAATCTAAACACCTCTTTGCCCCTGCCTCTATATTCCATCATGGCACCTCACTCTATTGTGCCTCTCTTTTCTACCTGTGTATCTTAGGAGACACACGTTGGAGGGTCTTGGTGGACCAATAGCAGATGACAGGCTGATTTTGATACAGTACTCTTGCCTTTCTATGTCTATTTTTCAAGCTTCCTCCTCCTTCTCCTCTCCCTCCCCTTCCTCCTTCTCCCCTTCCTCTTTCTCTTCTTCCTCTTCCTTCTCTTCTTTTTAACAGGGTCTCCTTACATAGTCTTGGATGTCCAGGAGCTCTCTATGTAGACTAGGCTGGCTATGAACTAACAATATCCTATTGCCTCTACCTCCTGAGTGCTAGGAGTATGGGTGTGTGCCACCATACCTGGCTCAAATTATGTTTCTTTCACAGGGACAGATTATGGAAGGCTTATGTGTGATAAATTTGAAGTGCATGAGGTGTGTGTGTGTGTGTGTGTGTGTGTGTGTGTGTGTGTGTGTGTGTGTGTGTGTACAGGGACAATAAAAAACACTAGAATAAAAAATCACTAGATCTTCGTCTGAGAGGCCCTTGGACCTGGTAGGGGAAGGAACAGGTGGCCCTTTTTGTACTCTTTGTTTTCTCTAAGTTCACTTTCTTCTGTCTCTACCCACCCTAACCTCTTTTGTTCCCCCATCTTTCTCACATCATCCTCTGGATCTCTCTTTAACTAATTCTTAGTGTAATTACTACACTTCTGACTGGTATAGCACTTTGTGTCTCCCCATTAATGCAATTGATACACACCATATGTGTGCCCTTGAGCTTGGCTATTGGTGGCCCAAGAAGATGAAACTAGGCTTCCCCTTTACAAAATTTTTAATATACTTGGAGTTTTCTGGAAATAAGAGGATAAAGTCACAGTATGACAAACTATTGTATACCAAATGTGTATGAACATGTAGAGTGTGTGAGTATTGTGAAAGAGTATGTGAGACTGTAAATATGTGTGTTTATTAGTGTGTGAGCATGTGAGTATGTTAGTGTGTAAGCATATAGGTGTGTGTGTGTGTGTGTGTGTGTGTGTGTGTGTGATCATTCAGATGATGGCAGAGAAGCATGAGATCAAGGATCCAGTCAACATCTGAAACAAATGATAGACTTGAGCTGAGGATGTGGCTCGGTTGGTAGAGTGTTTACCTGGTATGCCCAGAGCCCAGGGTTTGGTCCCTGATACCCTCTAACCAGATGTGATGGCACATGCTTGTAATTCCAAGGATTGGAGGCAGGGGATCACAAGTTCAAGACCAGCCTAAGGTACATGATAGCATATTAACAAACAAAAGAAAACAAAAATAAACACGGTTTTCTAAGAAAAATTTCACAGGAACTGAAGTAGCCAATGTCTTCACCTGGTGTTCTATGTCTGGTTACTCATGAACAGAGACATCAGTGTAATACTCATGTATATCTCTCTGTGGTGAGCGTGGGTAGTGTTCAACTGAGGGAAATAGATGGTACATGGGAGACATCTGAGTGTCAGTGGCACTAAGTAAGGAAGCAGAGGTGATATGCAATGGTGAGTTGGTAAGAGCAGAACACAGTAATGCTTAAGAGTTTGAGAGTGATATAGAGGTAGATGAAGGTAGCCTTTATTTCTTTGGGAGATAGCTGGAACAAGGTAACATCTACATGTCTAAAGGTAATATCAGATTGAGTATGGGCTGTGTTTAAGTTTAAAGAACACCTGAGTAACTCTGATGACATCAGAGTAAACAATGACAATAATCCAGACTAGATAACATTTAGGGTTTGTAGGTGACATCTTCAGGAAGCATGGGTTATATGCAGAGCTCTGTATGTGAACCAGGGAATAATCAAGTGATGGTGGTTCTAACTGAGGGGGTGGTAGTAACATCCAAGATGTGTGGACACTATTTAATTGAGTATAAATGTCAGATGTTAACACTTTTAGCTTGGTTAAGATGTTAACCTGGATTGTGTGAAATAGCTGGGAACATGAGTGAATGTAGAGACTATCCGAGTCTTTGCTGAAATTATCTGAGGGCTTAAGAATGATACTGCGTGATTTTCTGGGTAATATCTGGAGAAGGTTTACTTAAACAGTCATGGGGAAGATGTGATATTTTGTAGGTAATTATAAAATAAGAGTAGTATGTGACAGACAAATAACCTCTAAATGACTGTGGACAATACTAATGTGAGTGCGGGTGTTGCCCATTTTTACTGTGGACATCATCTGAGCTAATGGTAAAGTCACAGGTTTGTCTAGAAATAAAGGGCACAACATCCAAATTTCTCTTGGTAACATTGTAGTGAGCCCAGGTGACATATGCATCTGTGGGGTACTATGAGCCCAGGTGACATATGCATCTGTGGGGTACTATGAGCCCAGGTGACATGCACCTGTGGGGTACTATGGGCCCAGGTGACATATGCACCTGTGGGGTACTATGGGCCCAGGTGACATATGCATCTGTGGGGTACTATGGGCCCAGGTGACATATGCTCCTGTGGGGTACTATGGGCCCAGGTGACATATGCACCTGTGGGGTACTATGGGCCCAGGTGACCTATGCACCTGTGGGGTACTATGAGCCCATAGGCACACACTTTTCTGGGGTACTATTCCAGTGAGACTGGCCAGGTGCCCAACACTCTTTGCACATGGTGTCTGGGCACCTGGATAACAACCTGATGTGTGCAAGCAAAGGCATTCAGATAAATGAGGCCTGCCCTTGCATGTGGGCTCTGAATCACTGAACATCTTGCTTCTTCAGGGAGCCCTCCTCTACTGGCTGCCCTCCTTTTCATCAGAACCTTTAAATATCTCTCTCTTGATACTTCCCTACCTTTAAATACCCAGGGTGTGCTACTCTAGAGGCTAATGCATAAAAAGTGTTTGAAACCACCATTTTGAGATCAGCCTGGGCAACAAGTAAGACCCTGTTTCCAAAGGAGGAGAGTAATGCTCTGCTGCAGCTCTACCCTTCCTCAACCCCATAAATTTCTACCATGGTCCTATTTCTCTTTCTCCCAACACCCCTACTTCTTGGACATTTTGCCTAACTACTCTTGTTCACTTCTTGCAACCTCTTCCCTGGGGGCCAATCTTCCATCTTCTGAGTGAGGTCTTGGTATCTACATACCCTCCTAAGAACTAGTTACTGCGTCTAAACAACACCAGTGTAGCTGTTTTGTTCATCTCTGACTCGTCATGGCAATATTTGGCATCCCTTACTCCACCTTAGCCAAGACTCTCCTCTCTTTTCCTCAAAGACACAGCTACTGTTTCTGTTTCATTTCAGTCTCTTCATGGAATTTCCCCCCTCTGCTTTGCTTTTAAGTACCAGCCTCCTGTAGGAGCCTGTCTCAGCTCCCCTGTTCTCATTTTGTACAATGTTTTTTTAAAAAGATTTTCCTTGTTCCTATGGTTTCCCATACTCCCTCCAGGTGAAGACTTTTCAAGTCTTTATTTCCACCTCAGCCCTCTAGGTAAGTTCTAGATCTCAGGATGCAACAGCTTTGGGGAGTCAGCCATCAGCATTTGAACTCAATGGATTCCAAACTGAGCTGATAGTAATCCCCTCTTCCAAAACTGCTTCTGCTCCCTTGTTGCTGGGAACTGAATCTAGGGCCTTGCAGTTGCTAGTCAAGTGCTCTAATATGAAGGCAGATGTAGCCCCTCCTTGATTATCTTTCTCATGATATGCCATCTACGTCCTTTCAATTTCCCAAACCAGAAACTGGATTTCATCCCTTGACCTCATCCACCCTCCCTACTTCTAATCAATCATCAGACTCTGTTGATTCCATTTCCAGAAGTGGCTCTCAAATCCATCCACTTCTCTTCATCCCCTCTGCCAGTACCTCTGTCTATGCTAGCATCATCTTTCAGCTAGATCTGTGTAATGTAATAGCTTTCTAAAGTATCCTTCTGCATTCCATCTCATCTGCCCAACCATTCTCAACACAGCACCACTAACCCTGGCAGCACTACTGAATCCTTCAGTGGATCCCAGTGCTTAGGATAAAATCTACACTCCTTTGCTAGGGCTATAAAGCCTGCCATAAACACTCCAGGCTGGTCTAGCCTGAGTGTTGATTATGTACCTTTAATGGCACATGTTCCAGCCATTCAAAAACTGTGTAGTGCTGAACAAATGTGCCATGGGCTTAAACTTTGAGTTTTTGGACAGCCTATCTTGCCTAAGACACTTTACGCCTCTTCTGCTCCTTTATTTAGTTGTCTGTTATATTTTTCTGCTTCAACGTATATCCCACCACCTCAGGAAAGCAGTCTTAATTCCAAGGGTAGGGCAGGCTGGGGTGTTCCTCTTGTATATCCATGATCTTTCTCCTCTTTGTGCTGCCGTTCCTTGCTTACTTGTCTGTCTCCCCTATAAACTCAGAGCTCCATGAAGCAGGATTGTGTCAGTTTTGTTAAACTCATATCCTTGTTGCCTAGCACAGTTTCTGGTTCAATAAATATTTCCTGAATGAAAGAATCTAAGTGACAGTGGGTAACAGCCAAACTGGGAAAGCATGGACTGTTTTACGGGGTAAGTAAATATGTAGATTATAATTTATTCCAATGTTTACTTCTTGAACACAGAATCCATCTCTTTCCTTTTCTGTTTATAGAACCCAAGCTCCCAGGTTGCACCCTTAGTGAGGTTGTCAGACCCCCATCTCCTTTGGGTGTCCATATTCCAATCAGACCCTTTTGTGGGACTCCCAGGCTGTGACTTTCCCAGTGGTCTCTGTCCCTGTGCACTTGACTGCAGACGGATGAGACTGCAGACCATGTCTAGTTCATTCCAGTGTTCCCAGCCGCTAGCCTAGCAAGTGCTCATTAAACATTGCAAGTAAACATGGGTATGGGAAAGGGGAAATGCATTTTAAAATGTTCAATGAAGCAATGAAGATGTTAGCTGATGGGAGGAGGGAGAGTCACTTTGAAGACGGCATGAGTGAAGGCAGTGGGACGGGAAGGTGGCGGTGACACAGGGATGGGATGACGGATGTAAGGGGAGGTTGGCTCTAGGAAAGTGAGCCATAAGAAAAGAGATACTTGGGGGCTTTGGAAGGGACTCCAAAACCTTCAGAAAAACAGAAGAAGCATAGAGATCGGCGAAGGACTTGACTCTGGGAACAGGAATTTGGGGACAAATAAAACAAGAAAGGCAGCATCCCCTAGTGCCGGCTAAATTCAGATTTGAGAATCTTTTCTTGGGAAGGCTGGGGTGGGGAGGGGTGGAGATTGCAACTCCAGTCTCCCATCAGGCAGTCCAGAGAGCTCTGGTCCTCACCCGGCTCAGCCCCCTTCTTTTTGCCTTTCTTTTACCTGGCTCCTGTCTCTCTCTCCAGTGCTGGCTCTCTGAACTGGATGTTAAAAGGAAAGAGCTGGACCTGCTGGCAAGAAGAGGTTCTTGCTTCCCAGCTGTGTGGTGCTGAGCTTGGGAATGATCAAAAGTCGTAGGTATAGCACAAGGAATGTGAGGCCAGGGGCTCTAAACCAGGTGGTGTGAAGGTGTGATGGATTTATTAGAGCTTGGGGGCACAGTGTGTGTAGGGGAGGGATCTGTGTGGAAGCCGAGGAAGTACTGCAAGGGAAAGTCCTACGACGGTGTAGAGGTCGTGAGGGTTATTCATTAGTGGTATGGGGTGCAGTGAGAGGGGCTTAGGGAGGCACCCACCTCTGGTCCCGGTTCCGCGGAGGCGAGGGGGCTCGCAGCTGAGGTTGCCAGAGTTGCTGCTGTTGAGGAGGGGGACACCCGGGCGGCATAATGAGGAGGACCCCGGCCCGGGTCCGGGTCCCTGCATACTGCGGTTCAGCTTGAGCAGCTCCATGGTCCCTGTGAAGTCCCACTCAGATCCGCCGACTGGGCTACAGCCCCGGTTCCACCTGCTCCCGAAGCGCGGATGGCTCAGGCTCCCGCCCACCACATCGCCCGCCTCTCTTGGTTCCCGCCCCCTGCCCTGTCTCCTACCCTTCCACTCCTCCACCAGCCTCGCCTCGGTTCCAGCCGGTCCCAGGCTCTGGACGGCTTTTGTCCCACCAGGTGACACTTGGCGCGCCTCCCCCGCTCCAGAGTTCCGCGCGCGCGCGCGCTCCTGGGTGACTGCTCTCCAGGCTCGCCCCCGTGCTAGATTCTCCCGCCTTCTCTTAGAGATGTCTTTCCTGGTCACCCCTCATACCACTGCCCTTAGTTCTGGAAATTCGTGTGTGTGTGTGTGTGTGTGTGTGTGTGTGTGTGTGTGTGTGTGTGTGTGTGTGTAGACGCCTGCGCGTACGCCGGCGAGGCGAAGGGGACCACATGATGGGAGAAGTGAGTTGCTGCTGCTGTGGGGGTCCAGTATCTTTCTTTAGTGGTTTAGAAGATGCGGACGTGGCGGTGGTGATATGGTTTCTGTCCCAGGATCCCCCACTACAGAGCAGGTGCCTTAGACCGCCTGGAGCCGCAGTTACCATGCCCTGCCGCAGTGGCCGCAGTAACCATCACAGTATCGCCTCACTACCCTAGCTCTCTGCAGCTCTTTTGTGAGGGCTGAGGTAGCCCTAGCTTCTGCCTCAGTCCACCCCATCTCTTATCTGGAACCCAAAACCTGGGCTTCTGCTCCAGGGTCTCCAGGAGGGTCCGGAGGGCCGCAGTTGCTCACAACCGAGACTGTACACGAGACTGTACACGGAAAAAAAACTGCCGCGAGTTAGAGTGGACTAGGGCATTAGTGGCAGCTGGGAATGGATGTGAGAACTGCGCTAAATGAACTGGGTTGAGATGTAGTAGGGTTCTAGTCCTGGTCCTGACCCAGGCGAAAGATGGGGAGCAGGCAGCTTGCTCATCTCCCTCGTCTCTAGGTAGCGTCCACCCCCACTCAAAATGCTGTTTACCCTCAGCCCAGGTGCAGCACCGGTGTAGGGTGCTGGGTTCCCACGAGAGGGGGCCGGAAAAGGACTGGGTCACTGGGGTGCAGCGGGAGGGAACAAAGCAGAAGGTGCATGTGAAGTGCGAGACTGAAGCGGACTCAGCTTCCCGAGGACCGGCCTCCTCTATTTTTTTCATCCTTGTTTCTTTCATTCACTTCCATTCCAAAGACATTCCAGTATGAGATGAAATATCACTGTTTAGGCTCCCAAAGTGGCTGTCTGAAGTATTGGGGGGCGTAGGGCATCTGTGGGAGAGAGGATTAGAGTTGGGAGGAGTCTGGGTAGGTTTTGGAAAGGACCTGACCAGGCAGCACTGAGTTCACAAGGGCTAAAGCACTGGAGGAAGGGTTAAACCTGGGATCACCCTCTCCCTCCTGCTCCACTGTCTCCCTTGCTCTTCCGAGAGCCCTGGATCAGAGGAACTTGATGTCTGTTTGTTCAGCTCCAGCACAGGTGGTATCTCTGATAATCAGATGAACTTTTCCCACATTGGATGACGGTAGCATTGAGAAACAAGGGGACAGGGGAAATGCAGGGGGAGAGAAAGATGGAAATAAATGTAGATTGCATTCACTTATCCAGCAAACTAGGTATCTAGGTATCAGTTATGGGATTGTGCACCATTTTCCCGTGCAGCCAATCTGTCCCTGAAGAGCTCTCACTACAGCGGGGATTTTACCAAATAAGCCAAAGATTGCAATTCACAGTCCTACATACAAACATTAAGACGCACAAATTGAAAATTTAGGAATTAGGGCTGGAGAGATGGTTCAGCTATTAAGAGCACTTGCTACTGGACCTGGACCTCAACTCCAGTTCCAACAGATCCATTGCTATCTTCGGGACTTTGTGGGCACCAGGCACTTATGTGTTATACATAAATATGTGTAGACAAAACACTCATACACATAAAAAAAAATAAAAAGGAAGCCTAAGAATCATCCTTACTCCTCTGTGCTCCTCCACCCCTGTAATGGACATTGTGACACAAAGTCCCGACTCCGCAAAAATAAAGGATTCATTGCCTAAAAGGCAGTGCTCAAGATTCAGTCCCCTCCAGAAGTTGTCAGAGCAGAGTACCAACTCCTTCAAAATCACAGACCCTTCCTGGGGTATCATGCATCCAATGACTGATCAGCACAGAGGAAATAGCCCCAGTTTCCTCATCCCACTAAAGGACAAACTGTTCATAACACCCGAGCTCCTCCTTTGAGGCTGGCTGAGGATTCTGTCGGGTCTAGATTACTGCTCAGCCCCTCCCTTTGCCCAATCCTATTTCCATCCCCTCTTGCACAGGTGTTGACTTCGAGAGTACTCCTTAGTAAACATCCTTCACAGTAATCTCTGTTTTAGAGTCTGCTTCCTGGGGAATAGAGCTACATTGCTCCCACATTCAATCAATCATAAAGTCCTGTTGATTTTAGCTACCGAACAACTCTGCTTGTATTAAACAGTCTCTCGCACTACAATTCTAGGCTCCTAGAATGGCTATCACACTTTGCTGGTGCCTCTTTCCAACCAATCCTCTACCTTATGGCCAGAGTTCAATGTTCAGAATACCATTTACATTATGCCAGCCTTCCAATCTGCTTTTAGGAGAGAGGGAATCAGATCTATGAAGCCCACATGGCCTGGTTTCTGCTGTGGCTCAGTAGTTTTTGTTCCCTCTGCTGAACACACAATGACCTTCCTTAAGTGCCCCCTCCCACCTTTTGCTATACATTTCCTAGTCATATGGATTTTACATATATTTTCTGGAAGGTTCTCTTTTCCTTCAACACCTATCTATCTGATCTCATGTTTTCCTGACTCTCTTGGAGGGTGATCTTTAATCATGTTCATCCTTGTGTATCACCTCCAGAGTCTAGATAGACCAATGAGTACAATGAGGTATTAGCTACATGACTACATGACTACATGAGAACAGAGATTTTGCAGGTGGAATCAATGTCGCTAATCAGTTGCTCTCAAAAATATAGAAATTATCCATGTAGTCCTAGTCAAATCATATATGTTCTTTAACAGCCAAGGGTTTTCCGTGGTTGGACAGAGAACAACAGAAATCAGATACTTGAAGAAGGAAGTGCATGTTGAAATAGGGTCTCATGTAGCCCTGGCTTTTCTGGAACTCACTAGTAGATGAGGATGACTTTGAAATCCTGACCTTCCTGCCTTCACTTCCCCAGTGCTGGAATTACAGGCCTATACTATTTTTTTTTTGTGTGTGTGTGTTTTGTTTTGTTAACTTTACCATAAGCTAGAGTTATCTGGAAAGAGGAACTCCAGTGAGAAAGTGCTCCCATCAGATTGCCTGTAGGCAAGTCTATCAGGTATTTTCTTGCTTCATGATTAACATGGGAGGGCTCAGCCTACTGTGAGTGTTACCACCCCTGGGAAGGTGGTCCTGGCATGTATAAGAATGTAGGTTAAGCAAACCATGGTAGAGCAAGCCAGTAAGAAGCATTCTTCCATGGCCTCCTCTTCAGTTCTGTCTCCAGGTTCCTGCCTTGAGTTCCTGCCCTCGCTTCCTTGGATGATGGACTTTGATGTGGAAGTGTAAGCCAAGTCTTTCCTCCCCAAGTTGCTTTTGGCCATGGTGTTTTAGTACAGCAATAGAAACCTAACTAAGACAGTTACCATATCCAACTCAGTACACTAATGATTTTAAAGACTGATTTTTTAAATTTTTACTTATGTGCATTGAGTGTTTTTATGTGCATATGTCACATGTATGTGGATGCCTATGGAGGCTAGAAGAAGGTGTAACTCCTGAGCTGGAGTTACGGCAGTTGTGAGTGTAGCTGCCAAGAACCGAACTCTGGTCCTCTAGAAGAACAATAAGCACTCTTAACTGCTGAGCCATCTCTCCAACCCCTCAACATACTATTGATGGCATCAAGAAAGGGAACCCTGTGAAGAAATGACAACCACTGTTACAAGCTGGAGAGTGGAGGAGGACACACAGTGAGGACCCGAAAGTTACTTCTAGCTGAGAGAAGTTACCCTATGGCAGCCAGGGAAACACCAGGGACCTTTAGTCCTTCCTGGAATCTCTGGAAGAGAATTCAGTGTAGATGACAGCTTGTGACACCCTGAGTAGAGAATTCAGCCACAATGGGCAGACGTCTGGCCAATAGCTCTGTGAGCTAATAAATGAATGGCTTTAAGCCACTGAATTCATTATAATCTCTTGCAGCTGCTGTAGAAAACGATACACCTCCCAGTGAAGGAGGTGGTAAGCGGAGACCCTTGTAAGCCATACCAGGAAGATACGGGGGCTTTAGAAAGATTGCCGTGATGACTCGTGTCAAAGCAACTTAGGGGGTGAGACCAATTCACATGGGACATAATAATGACTTAAATTAAAGTCATAGAGATAGTGTAAAGATGGATCTAAAAACTGCCCATAAAGTAGGGAGGCAGAATTTAGAGTGTTAGCAGGTAGAGGGCGAGAGAAGGGAATGAGAGAAAAGTCCCCAAGATGTCTAGTCACTGCATAAAAACTGATAACAGAAACTGTGTTCCAGGCACGTTACCTTTGAATTCTTTTCCTCTCAAAGAGAATTATAAATTTAGACCTCATATTATTTTTAAGTTGATAATTATTTTGCTTTAGAAATTTTAAATGAACATACATAGTATCAGGTTTCATTTTGGCATTTAAAAAATATCTTTGTTAATTCCCCTACCAGTCGCTTCTCCTATATCCCCTGACCCGATCCTCCCTTTCCAACCCTTTCTTCGCCTCTTTTCCAATCTCATGTCACAGTGCCCTATTGCCCTTCCCCACTTCCTCAACTCTTCTTCTCCTCTCATGGGCTCCTGTACACACGTATCCACTAAGATGCATACATATAAACATTGTATGCTAGGATCTGCATATGAGAGAATATCCTTTTTTGCCTTTCTGAGTTACCTGGCTTAATGTAGTATTTTCCAACATCATTTGCTTTCCCGAAAATTTCATTTGTGTTTACCTCTAGCATTCCATTGTGTATCGGCACTACAATTTCATTACCCATTCATCTGTGATGGACATATAGAAAGAATCCTTTTTTTTTTTTTTTTTTTTTTTTTTTTTTTTTTTTTTCGAGACAGGGTTTCTCTGTGTAGCTTTGCGCCTCGAACTCATAGAGATCCGCCTGCCTCTGCCTCCCGAGTGCTGGGATTAAAGGCGTGCGCCACCACCGCCCGGCTTAAGAATCCATTTTTTTTTGTGCAGTTGTGACTAATACAGCAGAGTAGACATGAATGTGCAAGAATCTCTGGGGTCAGACAGGGAGTCACTTTGGTACATGCCCTGGACAAGTACAGCTGGATCATATGGCAGTTCTATTGTTTTTCTTTTAAACCATATTTTATTAATCATTATTATTGTGTGTGCCTATGTGTTTGTGGTGTGTGTCTGGGGTGTGCTTATGGCATGGCACAAATGAAGAGATCAGAGGACAATTTTGTAGATTAGGCTTTCTCCTTTCCACTTTTTTGTGGGTTCCAGTGATGGAATGCTAGATTGTCAGGCTTGTGTGTGTGTGTGGGGCGGGGGGAGCAAGCTGATGTTGGAAATTATTTTTGGTTGCTCTTCAACCTTGTTCTTTGAGGCAGGGTCTCCCAGTCAAACCCCAAACTCGCAGATACGTCTAGTTTCACTGGCTAGGTTTCTGTGGAACTCCCTTCATAGGCTGGAATTGCAGCCAGCTGCCACACCTGGTACCTGGCATTCATGTGGCTCTAGGGATCTGAACTTTGGTCCTCTTGATTGCCAGCAATCACGTTAACCATCTCCCCAGCCCCAGTAATTTTTTTATTTGAGATGCCTCCATACCGATTTCCATAATGACTGTACTAGTTTACATTCCTACCAGCAGTGGATAAGGGTTGTTCTTCCCACATCCTATCAAAGGAGAGTGTACTGAATCATTCAAATGCTGTTCCTGGCTAAGAAACTGAGTGGCTGAAAAATTGTTCAGAACTTAGTGACCTGCAGACCCTTGGCAACCTCAGGAAGAGCCATTTTGTTGGTCTTTGAGGCAGAAAATAGGTAGGTATACTAAACCTGAATTGCCTGGAGGAAGTGGAGTGACTGATTTCAGAAGTTGTATTAGAAATGTGTTCATCAAGGAATGGAAAGAATTAGTGAAGAATGTGGAAAGAAGGAGTTTAGTTTTAGTCTGAACTTTCAAACTTTGTTTTCAGATGGAATAATTTCAGTACAGAGAAGACCTAAGATGTGGCTGAAAGGATGTAGAGGGTTAGTCCACGATGTCAGATTTCTAAGAAGACAAGGAGAACGGATGCTAGAGAAGAGTAGAAGTCCTTAGCTTGTGATAGGAGTAGAGACTCAATCTCAATGTCAAGTGTAAAAGGAGACCAGAAGTGGAAGGTTGTAACAAAGTTGTGAGCAGCTAGCTAACAACTATATTTTCTTTGTTTTTCTGCAGTAAAATGTGGCTTTATGGCTATGATAGTGTCTATGCCTGAAAGACAATGCAAGGCTTTTAGATGTAGGTGTTGATGGGGAGAAGCAGACCCCTCCCTTCTTGCAGGCTGACTGTAGCTGGGAGGGCAAGCCACCTCTGATGATTCGTGGAAGGAATGTGGGAGAGGTGTGAGGGTGACAGAGAGAAAGAAGCCTGGATGTTCTCTACTCTGAAATGATTTTTGCCATCTTCAGTTCTTCTGCATAAAAACAACCCTCCACACTCTCAAGTCTCTTTAATTTTTTCATTATTGCCATAGCGACGTAATTGGAATCTTAACTAATAGAGTAGATTTGTGGCTTTGGTGTACTCCAGAAATATGGACTGTTCTCTCTCTCTCTCTCTCTCTCTCTCTCTCTCTCTCTCTCTCT